CGATTTGAGAGGATCACCATCCTATCATGGAGAGATTTATGGGAGGCGGTTACACCCCATTAAACCCTCATTAAGGAGAGATTTAAGGGGGGGGTTACACCCCTTTAATCCCCTATAAATAGAGAGAAACTCAACTAAGTTTGGGATCTCCAATTCATCTTCTTTTTGACAGCAAAGAATAGATCTTTTGGCAGATCATCTTTAAAGGAGATCGGCATTAATCCTTGGAGAGCTTAGAGCATTCTTCAGCAATAGGAGCTTTCTTCATCCTTGGCTTACAAATTAACCAATTTCGGTTTAATCAACTCTTTCATAGAGTTTCAAACTCGTTCAGAGTTATCAACTCTTCAAGAGTTTTAAACTTGTTTTGCAAGTTCATCCAAGACGTTGAGTCAAGAGGCGAAGACAATGTTCCAGTGAGGTATTCGGATCGTTAATGGGATACAAGAATCTAAACTCCCATCGACACCAAGAAGAACCCAGGTTAAACAAAGGGAGGGATCTCTGTCGATCTCTTCTCTCTTTTGTAAATTAGGAAACCGATCGAGAAGATTTGCAATTTCTTTTTCTAAGTCTGTTAGAGAGAAATTGTATCGAGAGAATTGTAATTAATTATTTTTCTAAGTCTGTTAGAGAGAATAATACAAATTCATTTTCTCATTTTCTTCATTCAAATTTTCCCACCAAACAGATGGGATGAGATATTTATCATCATTATGGTTGTTTATGACTATTGAAGTATTCAGAAGAAGTTATGAACCAATCATATTTCCTATTTTAAATTACGAGAAGCATGTTTTATAGTCAGAAGACTATTGATTAAAACCTCCCCTTACTAAAAAAATACATGGAATACCATGTATTAGATGAAGGAACAACAAGTCACTAAATACTCAGCCTGTTAAGTTCCCTCGATGCCACATGGAAGGTCACAATCGAGCAACATGCAATGAGCCTATCTAGTCTTTAAGCTTTTATATTAGACATTAACATTTTGTATTGGCTATTAATTTTTTGTACATGCTGCTAACCCTAAGTGTTAGTTGTTTAACATTTGTATTTGTTGTTAACATTTGGTGTTACTTGTTAAGGTTTAGTGTTAGTTGCCAGTTTTTTGTATTAACTGTTAACCTTAGGTATTGGATGTTAACCTGATTGGTTAGTTATTAAGGTTATAAATTATTTGTTAAGCTAAATGTATAGCTATTATAATTTTGATTTAGTTGTTAAGATTATAAGTTTGAATAATGTTAAAGTATGTTTAAGCTGATAAACTTTTGTGATTATTAACTTTGTTGTCAAGCATACAAAGAAAGAACATCATATTAATTTAACAATATACCATAAACAAACAAATATTTACAACAATTAAGAGTGCTTTGAGAATCATTTAAAATTATTTTTAACATAGTTAGACATGTCTATTGATTCATCTATTGGTGAATCATCACATTGTTTATCAAATCTGCCGAGGTCATCATCGTTAAGTTTACCAAGGAGTTTTTTCTTCTTTCTCCCTTCGACTAGTAGATAAGTGGTTAGCTTCGCTCATATGATCCATCTTGTGTGATCTTATGGTGTGAGGTGTATGATATCTTTTCCTTTAAGAATAGCTTTTATATACAGGTATGTGTAAAGTCTGCAGTCATACCTATATATAAACATATAAAAAATATTAACAAGCATTCTCTAACATTAACAAAACTGAAACCTTAATAACTAGGCTATGAACTTAATAATATATCTGTAACCTTAACAACTTTGTTGTAAACTTGATAACTAATTTATAACTTTAACAACTATACTATAAATTAAACTACCAATCTGTAAGGTTAATAACTAAACTGTAATATTAACAACTACACTACATACTTAATAACTAATTTGTAAGATTAACAACTAAACTATAACCTTAACAACTACCAGTTAAATCTTAACTACCACTCTGTAATCTTAACAGCTGATCTAAAACCATTATAACTAAACCGTAAATTAACAACTAATCTGATATTTTAACAACTAATGAATAAAAAATTACAAAAGGTAGAGTTTCCTAAAACTTACAATCTCTTTTATTTCCCACATGGAACTGTTTCATCTTTAAATACGAGAAATACATTCTTTTCTTTGAAGCCAATTTTTATATGGTTAAAGAATTTAATCATATTGAGTACAAATTTTCTATGACCAGATCGGTCTTTTTCTTGAGCAATAGTGTTTGACAACATTATTTTGAAGATCAACTTCAAGAAGATGCCAATGATCATATTGGACAATGAGAACTATTAGAATATTAACTCTAGCCATGATGAACTTTCTAATGAAAAAATTATAAGCATCCTTGTAGACTACTTGTTTGGCATGTATTTTGTGCTATAATGATAAATTAAATAGGTCAATCATGTTTATCATAAAAGATATATGATATTGACAAATAAATACTTACGGAAAATAATACAGAGATAAGGCCATATTTTTTGGCTAATGCTTCATTCTGAGGCATAGCTAACCATTAACGTAGTGTGTCTATTAGCGTTTCAACAACCTAGAAAATGATAAACAATATATAATTAATTTGAATTTAATTAGTAAGAATATCTTTATGACATAATAAAGAAATGTTATAATATGAATCTTACACTATCGTGAAGTCGACCACCACGTAGGATGTTAAGCAACTCAAATCTATCTATGCTTAACTATTGAGAACTGTACACTTTTAATAATCTATAAAAAAATAATTAATAACCTTAACAACCAATAGCTAACAATGACAATAAATCATTAAGCTTAACAACTATGATAAACATAACAACAAACTGTAAACCTAACAATAAAGCAGTAACCTTAACAACTAGGAGATAATTTGAACAACTAAGTAATAACATTAACAACTAAGTAATAAACTTAATAACTAAGAGATAACCTTAACAACTAAGTGGTAATCTTCACAACTACGAGATGACCTTGACAACTAAGAGAAAACATTAACAACTAGCAATAAATTTAACATATAATCTAAATACTTACTTGTTGTACCTGTAAATACTAAAATGATTGATAATTTTATTCTCCCCTTTTGTCAGTTTGACTACTATATATTCTGAGATCGTAAAGTTATGTAGAATTATGTACTCATTATACAATTTGATCACGAAGCCTTTAGGGAAAAGAATCCCAATGTTTATATCTTTTAGAATTTTTTTCTTTCTCGAATATAGGAGAATATATAAAGGTCTTCTAAATTTTAAGGGGATGACCAAGTAGCTTGGCGGATACTATATCCTTGAACCCACTTTCACTCTATCTTTATCCCCCTCGTTCTACATATTTTTTTTTCATTCCTCTTTCCTTCAGTATAAGGGCTAATAACATGTTACAAATGCTTAACCAATCATTTGATTCTTCTTCTCTACAACTATTCTTCCACATTTGCATTCCTCTTTCTCCTATTAAGTTTTATTTCCTCCATCTCACACTTAAAGGAACTTCATTATCTTTAGCATCATCTCTTCCATCATCAACAACAAAATCAATTTTATTTCTGGAAAAATTATCTTCTTCAACAAAATCCTTCTTTTCAATCTGAACGATAGATGGAGGGATTTCCTTCTCCACCTCTCTATTAGGTGAAGTGTATATCTTAGGTGGAAAGCCTGACACAGAAAACATTGATTGACATGAAACCACTAATTATACTTAATAATTACCAACTAAAAGTAACAACCAATCTGTAAACTCTTCCATGTAAGCTGTAATCTTAACAATCAACCTATAACCTTAACAACTAAACTGTAACTTTAATAATCAATATGTAACCTTAATAACTAAATTGTAATCTTAACAACCAATCTGTAACATTAACAATTAGACCATATACTTAATATCAAATCTATAACATTAACAATTAAACTGTAATGTTAACAATAAATCTATAAACTTAACAACCAATTATTAGACTTAAACATCTATCAGCTACCATTAACAATAAACTTAACTAACCTTTGATAGTTTGCTCCTCCATCACTTTAAAAGATTATAAGCCTTCGGCACCTCTATTTTCTTCATCCCTTTCTTGTTCACTAGTTTGTTATATGAAGATGGACGACTAGGGTTCTTTGTGGGCATATCCAAAATATTTTTTACGGATAAGTCCATCCTTAGTTCTTGTTACTTTTCAAATTGATATTCATATTTAGTACCATCAACTCCTTGTTTAGGCATCATATTTCTTCAAATAGAGTATATAGTTCCTCTCAGTGGGAAGCTCTCTAGTCTTTATATTTATTCTCTCCACATCACAATGTAGTTTTTAATTCATCATTGCGATCATTTTTCAAAACCTCAGATGTTGAGGTAATTTTAACTAATCAGTTATCTCATCATGTTGCTCTACAGCTTCATTATTATTCTGAAAAAAACCCTGAGCAATAATAAGATAGAGTATCTGTAATAACCCAAATATTAGTGCCTTAAAAACTTGATTAATAATTTTTTAATGACAGATTAAAGAACTAATTAGGGGTAATTTTGGGATTTTACCCTAACCCCTGATTATTTGCCACGTTAACAGTTGTGTGGCTAAATATCATTTGACGTATTGGTCGGCACCTCTTAACGGAAGAATAAAAGTAGAGAATTCAGAGAAAACATAGGGAAATTGGAAGAAAAAAAAAAGAGATGAAGAAAGAAAAAACAAACAAACAATTAAACAGATCACACCTCTCCTCCCTAACAGAAATCCTGAAATTTTTAGAAGGCTTGTGAAGGGAGAAAGGAAATCAATGCAACAAATCAACATCCAAATTAATTGAGGTATAGTCTCCTTTCAATTTCATAGTAAATCTTAGTAAATTGAATCAAATTTGAATGAATAAGGAAGTTAACTTGTTATAAATGTAAAATAAAGGAATCTAGGGTTTGCAAAAGGACTTTTCTTATGTGTTTATGATGCATGAAACAAACTGAAAAAAAGAAAGAAAGAAAGAAAAATAACTAACCCTAGTTCGGTGAGGTCTGACCACCGGCCATCCCTAGTCGCCGGCGATCCCTTGCCGTGGTCGTGATGTTTTGGCGAGACATGGAAAGGAGAGAGAGAGAGAGAGGAGAGAGAGAGAGAGAGAGAGAGAGAGAGAGAGAGAGAGGAGAAAAACCGAAAGAAAAAGAGGAAGAGAGGGAACCGGAAAAAAAAGAAGAAAAAAAAAAGAAAAGGAACGAAGAAGAAGGTGGGGAGGAAGATGATCTGTTGAAATGATGTAAGGAGAGGAAAATTGCTTTAAGCCCCCTGAACCATGAAAATTTTTGAAACAGACCTTAATAATGTGAGTTATGTTTGAAAAAGGATGGAAAATATCTGTTTAGCCCCTGTTACTTACTCAAGTTGTAAATAAGTCCAGTCTTAGGAATAAACAATAAAATTTTTAGACTTGATAAAATTTCCTATAACCCCTGCATAATTCAATTATTATTGATTATATCTGAAATTATTAGGCTTTAGGATATGAATTAATTTACCTATAATATATGTTTGTTCTGAATTAATAATTAGTCCTATATCTTACATTATAGGTTCTGGTTGATATTCGGGAGAATAATAGTTTGAGAAAGTCGTGACCACTAGAGGTGAGTTCATTTCTCACTAGTATTTTATAATATGAAATTGCATGAGTTTTATATTTGAATTATCTTGTGATAAAAATAAATAAATAAATAATATGTCTTTTCATGTATAGAAAGATTTGACCTATTTCTGTTATGGTCTATCCTACAATATGATGGTAGCCTCGTACAATATATGAAAAGTCAATTTGAACTTATGTAAAATATGGAAAAATAAATTTGGCTCTCATGCAATTTTCAAATAATTGTAGACTTTGATTTATCTGAAAGTTTTGATGAAGTAATTGGAACGTATTTCAACCGTTTAACGGATTCAAAGATTTGCCGTAACTTAGTATCTGATAAAAGAAAATGTAAATATCTGTAATCTCCTTTAACTGAAATGAGAAGTTTTACCTTGTCAATTTCATTTGAAATATATGCAAATTCTGATATGCAAAGTATTTCTCATTTGACATGTGATCTCGATGTTTTCAAACCCTCAAATAGTCCACTATGGATTGGTTCTGCCTGCCATATGGTGAATGCACCTTTATTTGGCCCTTCTGTATTGGCCTTGGCCCTTCTGTATTGGCCCTTCTGAAATCTGTTCTGGCCCCTCTGTATTTGGCCAGTAGCCTATGGCAGTGTTAGGTGCATTCGGTTCTCGGGAATTATCTGTTATCTGATGCGGTTACGCATTCCCTTGCTACTGGGCTAAAATTCGTAGCCTTAGTGTGACCTATGGGGTGACTTTTACATTCATGAAATACTCATCGAGAAATGAGATTCTGATAATTGACTGTGAAATTAACAAAATAACAATTCTCTGATTTTGTACAAATTAGTAGTTCTTTTCCTTCTTAATGTTTACCTTGATTCAAAAATGGTTTAATTCCAAGAAATTTCACAGTTTATTCAGTTGCACATGAGAAAGGAAATATAATTGTTGTATTCTTTCTTAAAAATGACAGTATTACGATATTTGGATTGTAGTTTGCTATCTGTGAATTTCTCATGCAAAACTTGAAATTTGTTAAATTCTGAGAACTATTCTTATTACTATTTTGTTAGTTATCTAGGAACTCTAGTGGGAAATGTTCTCACTGACTTATTACTATTTTGTTAGTTATCTAGGAACTCTAGTGGGAAATGTTCTCACTGAGCGTTAGCTCACCCCGTTGTTTTTAATTCACCCCGTTGTTTTTAAATATTTTTCAGATCCGGCGTAGCTTCCTATTAGCCGACTTTTGGTTTGAGCCTCTTCTTGTTATATGGAGAGCCTCTTCTTGTTGATGTTACCTTCAGCGTATTTTGTTTTGTTTTGTAAAAATGCTTATAACGGTGAGCTTGTGGGCTGTAAGTACCGATCTTATATATATATATATATATATAGTTGCTCTGATTTCTATCATCAGCAGGTTTATTACTATTTGAAAATAAACTATGCGATATGATTTGCCAGGCTTGACTTGTGCATAAGACTTGTCTCGTGCACGGGTCGCTGCTGTCGCGTACCCCGTGTTTTATGATATTCCGCTGTAATTTCGGGGCGTGACAGTAAGGTGGTATCAGAGCTTAGGTTTCGACATTAGAAACCTTGTAGGGCACGCTATTATAGAGTATATGAGCTAGATGAGTGTTAGCGTATGGATCAATTATGTGATATATGTCTGTATACATACGTATATATATATATATGTATGCATATAAATATTTTATTATAGGAAGATATGGCTTTCGGTAATGAGCAAACCCCTCCTAACGGAGATAGGGATCTAAATCAGACGATAGGTGATATGATAAGATCTAGAACTGCTCATGGGTCCACTTCCGGAAACTCAATAGACAACAATGCATTGATGGATCTGCTGTAAGCAGTGACATCTGTAGTCACCAGACAACAAGATCAAATTGATCGCAATCGGACGAGTGGTCAAAGCGAGGAACACCCAAAATTAAGAAGTGGCATGGGAGAATTCAAGAAACTATCTCCACCTCGTGCATAAGACTTGTCTCGTGCACGGGTCGCTGCTGTCGCGTACCCCGTATTTTATGATATTCCGCTGCAGTTTCGGGGCGTGACAGTAATGTGGTATCCAAAGCTTGTAATCAGAACATCTCTGGCTTTTAAAAGCTGTTTCCACATCCAAGAGGCATTTGGCTTAATTTGAACCTGCCAGATATTATTTGACTATAAATAATTCTCATGTATCCATTTAATCCATAAGAGGTCCTTCTTGAGATGAATCATCCACAACAATCTAAGAGCAGCTGCGCAGTTCCATGTTCTTGCTGAGAAAACACCCAATCCTCCAAATTTTTCCTCTTGACAGATCTTTGTACAGGAAACTAAAGGTATTTTGTGATTCCAGAGAAAGTCTGAACACATCCTATCAATTTTGCTTAGGATTTTACAAGGTAAGATGTAATTATTTGTGAGGAACACCCAAAATTAAGAAGTGGCATGGGAGAATTCAAGAAACTATCTCCACCCAGTTTTGAGGGAGTGACTGATCCTATGATTGCTGAGCATTGGATCACAGAAATGGAAAAGGTCTTCACATACATGAAATGCCCTGAAGAGGAGAAGGTTGATTATGCAGTATACATGTTAAAGGATCGCGCTTACGGGTGATGGCAAATGCAGGTCAGGACATTGGGTGAGAAGGCATACAAGTTATCATGGGAGGAGTTTAAAAAGATTTTTTTATGAAAAATATTTTCCTTCAACTGTTCGCAAACAAAAAGAACAGGAGTTTCGAAAGTTAGAGCAAGGTGATAAGACAGTAGCTGAATATGAAGAAGAGTTCACCTATCTATCAAAATTTGCCATTCACGGATACCCAGAATGACAGATTTTATCAATTGTAGCCTCCCAGCATATGATAAAGTCTTCCTCTTTTGCCAGTTTTGAATTTGCTCAGAGATTTTCCTGATTAAAGGAGAACAGTCCATCCAAGATAACTTTTTTGTTATAAGAGGCATACCCAGATACCTTACTGGCAAGACTCCTTCAGAGAAGTTTAGATATGAGCAGATTTGATGCTTCAAATTTTCACTGATACCACTCATATATATAGAACATTTATTGGGGTTAGATTCCAGAGAAATTGACACAAAACCAAAGAATGAGGCGAGCAGCTCCTACCCAAAGAAGCGATTCTGGCAAGACAATCACAGTGGGAGAAATAAGAATTGGAGAAACAAAAAGCAGAATTTTGGACGCAGAGAAGGGCAATTTCCAAATCAGACAGCATTTAGGATGAAATTTGAACAGATTGTCATTTTTGAGAGTATTAAGCTTTCTTGACAGGTATTCCATGCCTAGCACAAAAAGATATGGGGAGAGGGGATCCCCTTGTCTTAGTCCTCTAGCCTCATAAAAATATCCATGGAGAGATCCATTGAGAGACATGGAAAATTTTGAGGTAGTGATACATTCCATAATCCAATTAATCATAGCAGTTGGAAACCCCAGACCTGACAGCATTGCCTCAATAAAGCTCCAATTTATGGTATCAAAGGCCTTTCTCAAGTCTATGTTGAGGATGGCTCTAGGTGAAGACTGTTTTCTCCCATAGTGCTTTATAAGCTCATGAGCAAGCAAGATATTATTTGAGATAATTCTACGAAGACTGTTTTCTCCCATAGTGCTTTATAAGCTCATGAGCAAGCAAGATATTATTTGAGATAATTCTACCTTTTACAAAAGCACTTTGAGCATCACTAATCAAAAAACCCATTACTTTCTGAACTCTACAAGCAATTATTTTGGCAATAATCTTATAGACACAATTGCAACAAGAGATTGGTCTAAAATCAGATGGAGATTTAGGGTTGAGTACCTTAGGAACCAATGTGATTGAGGTAGAATTAAGAGTCCCTAGAAGTTTGCCAGAATAGAAAAATTCCTCAACTGCCAGATAAAGATCTTCTTTGATAATTTCCCAAGCTGCTTTGTAGAATGAGGCATTGAAACCATCTGGTCCAGGGGCTCTGTCATCAGCCATTGAGAAAATAGCATTTTTTTTATCTCTTCTCTTGTGATAGGAAGACCCAGCTCATTACTTTGAATTGAAGAAAGGATCGGGCCATTTGCTATTACTTCAGGGTCAGGCAAACCAACAGGAGGCGAAACACCCAGAAAATTTTGATAATATTCAATGAATTCCTTGATGATATCAGACATTTCAGTGATCCTTACTCCATTTTCAGTGATTTTGATAATATTCAATGAATTCCTTGATGATATCAGACATTTCAGTGATCCTTACTCCATTTTCAGTGTAGAGAGATAACACTCTATTTTGGTGTCATGATATCAGACATTTCAGTGATCCTTACTCCATTTTCAGTGTAGAGAGATAACACTCTATTTTGGTGTCTTTTTGCTTTCATAATAGAGTGGAAAAATTGAGTGCATTTGTCACCATATATCCCCCATTTAATGTTTGCTTTTTGTCTGTAGAAAGAAGTTTCACAATTTAGCAATCTCACATACTTTTCCAGACATTCCTTCTCTTTTGAAACTAGTAAGGGGTTAAAAAGATCATTGCTCATGTCCTCCTGGACCTCAACTAGATCATTTTTAGCTCTTAATACTTGCTCACTTATATTCATGAAATGCCTTTTATTCAACTCCTTTAGAACTGGCTTGAGTTTCTTGAGTTTGGTATGGAATATATACATCTTGTATCCTGTAACAACCTGATCCCAAACTGATCTGACTGTTGAGAGGAAATCAGGGTGACTAATCCACATCTTAAAGAACTTGAAAGGCCTTTTAACCTCAATTTCCTCATCTTCAATTGTGATTAAACCAGGGGAGTGATCAGAACAGTTTGGAGTCAAGAATTCAACCTGGCTTGAGTTGTATTTTTGAATCCAATCTTCATTAACCAGAACTCTATCAAGTTTGCACCATATTCTTGTGTCAATATCCTGTTTATTGCACCAAGTGAAAAAACATCCATTAGTCTTTAGATGTACAAGTTGACAGGAAGAGATGAAATCCTGAAAATCTTCAGTTTCTGCATCAGTAACTAAAGATCCACCAATTTTCTCATTGTTGTCAATAATAGTGTTGAAATCCCCTCCAATGATCCAAGGACAGGAAACATTTTGTTTAAATGCCAAAATGTCATGCCAAAGAGATTTTCTTCCAGAATTATCATTGAGAGCATATACCACAGTGATTAAACATGATAATCTGCAGTCTTTTGACTCAACAGCACATGTCATAAATTGATTTGAGGATCTAAGTAGCTGCACTGAAAGAATGTCACTATCCTAAAGAATCCAGATCCTAGCATTATTTGCTTGATGACAATTTGAAAACCAGTGCCAATCTTTGGTCACTTTATTTGCAATAGATTGAATTTTTCCACTGACTACCTTAGTTTCCAAGAGGGCTACAAAAGGAAGCTTATATTGGAATATTAAGTGCTTCACCATCATGTGCTTAGAGGATTTGTTAAATCCTCTCACATTCCAAATAGCTAAATGCATTAGAACTTTAGACCCCCCCTGTCTGGGGCAAAGTCTTGATGCTCCAAGGGAGAGAAATGTGATACCTGAGATAATCCCTGGTTATTTACTTTCCCACTATTTCTTTTTGCAGATTTCTCCTTTGTAACACTGGTAAATCCAGTAGTATTAATAGCAGGAGAAGAGAAATGCTGAAGAGGGGGTGAACTAATAATTCTGGAAATTTGTATTCCAGAGCCAGATTTTCCAACAGGTTCCTTCTGTGCACGTGCACCAGAAGAAGATTCAGAGATAGCTTGATTTCCATGTTTGATTCCAGATCCCCCAGAATCATCAGTAATATTCTGTGCATGTGCATCAAAATTTGCTCCAGAAGTTTCATCTACAATCATTTCAATATCAGGAGCTGCTTTAGCAGAATCTGCCCTAGAGGTTTCATCAGCAACATTTGGAACTGGAGTTTTCCCGACATTCTTTTCTCTGTGAATAGGCACCCATCTCATTTTCCCAGTTTTCCTTCTACAATGTTCAGTAAGATGACCAATAATATTATAGGTATCACACCACCTTGGTTTAAGCTCATAAATCACTTTTTGTGTGTAGCTCTTTCCATCAGGCCCTTGTATAACAAGTTGATCAGGGAGAGAAGATTTTAGAGGCAATTTCACTTCTAATAACACTCTAGCATAAGATAACCTTTTCCTTGTTGCAGTGAGCTTGTCTGTGGTTATAGGATTTCCTATGAGAGTAGCAATTTTACTAATCCCAGTAGGACTCCAAAGATTCAGACGTAGGTTTGGAAATTGCACCCACATAGGGTAATTATAGTCTTGAACCTTTTCCATATCAGTGTCAATATTCCATGGCTTGAGGACCAGAGGTCTTGAGCCAAAGAACCAAGGCCCCGCTTCCAAAATATCACACATTTGCTTTTCAGTTTGGAAATCAAAGAGAAATACACCTTGCTTTATTAGATGAATTTCAGGAATAGAGATTTTCCCCCACAACTTATTTACATAAGTTTCCATAGATTTAAATCTAACGTTGAGACCAATAACATAGCCAATTAAAGCATATCTCCAGTATTCTTCTCCTTCTTTCCAATCTTCCAATGAAAATATAGCAGTATTTTCTTGGTTAGGAGGGACATAATTCAGGTTTAAACCCTGACCATTCTTCCTGTTATCAGTAAACAAGCTTGCAAAAGATTTCGGAGCTTCAACCTGATTCTTAACAACATCTTCTGGAATTGAGTTAACAACTCCATCATTTACTATTTTCTCGGTCACAACAGGATCCTTTATAGGATTAACATTCAGATCTGTATTCTCAATAGATCCAGGGAAGTGATCTATTGGAGAAATACGTTCATCAACATCAATAGCATTCAACCCATTCTGAGCAAGGTCATCCATTAATTCCTCATCTAGATCTAGATTTGTATTTTCAAAAGCAGAATTTTCAACCTCATCTGCCCAAAAACTTGATGGCTTCACTAGTTTTTTAGATAGGAGACTAGATCTCACCTGAAGAGGATCTGAGATTGATCGAGATTTAGCAAGAATCTCATCCATACTCATCTTCTTCTTCGCACCTTTAGGGCCAGTGCTCTCCATTATCATTGAAAAAGAAGATTCCTTACGTTCATCCCCTGATACTGTGCCATTGGATTCATCTCCCAGATTAGACGAAGAGGGGAAAGCAAACATAGAATCCCTCAACTCATTGCTGAGCGCTCCCTTGACGCTACTCTTCTTCTTCTTCCTCATTCAAAACCAGGCGGGGTGCACATTAGCAAAGAATCGCCCGCTAAAATGCACCGTTCAGACCCGCCCCTAAATTGGCAATTTAGAGTGAGCTATGCTTCTTGGCCTTTGGCACGTGATGCAATCGACTGTCATCTGTCACCGTCTGTCGAAGGCTTATTTCGGCATATGATGCTCCAAAATATAAACTAGGTTATCTTCGTTACTTTCTAGTGGATTATGAGTCATGAGGCTTCACTAAGTAAAGGACAGTCAATTACATCCCTTATAATTTTACAATTTTCAATGCATCATTTGATAATTCATCACCACCCACCCTATCCTTTTTAAACATTCTATACCGTAATCTACTTGGGTTATAATCCATAAAATTGGTGTATTATAATCTAAGAGGATTATAATCCAATGTTCTAAAACATGATCCAACTTAAGTTGAAGACCAAGGCATCTATATATACCTTCAAAATTCAACCCATGAAGGTATAAATTCCATAATAATTTCTGATAGCTTTTTTTTGGAAATGAATCCTTCTTGGGAGTGGATGTTTAGGGTAATATGCAGTTAGACTATAAATGATAAATGTAGGCGTCAAAAATTGCCCACGGATCCCCGAACGTGGCTTGAGACAAAGAGAAGACGATGAACGTCACTATCCGGGAAACAGAAGCTTAATTGATCCCGATAAACGCATGAAGTGAGTCAACGAACCGTGTGAAGCAACGGAACTTCAGAATAACGAAAACACGAACTGATCGGGAGCTACGCGTCGCTTACGAAAGACAACGAGCCCCTCGTGTCTCATTTACTCCACATATGATTCAATCATGGAAGTTCGTAAATCCCCTCGTCGGATTTCCGACACATTTTGAATCGCGTGATTCCGAGTTTGGATGACGAAGATACGGCGAAAATGGATAGAACGCGCAGAACAATACTCCAGGCCTCAGCGAGACACCCATAGGTGTCTCGGCCAAAGTTTGGCCGAGACACCCAGAACAATACTCCAGGCCTCAGCGAGACACCCATAGGTGTCTCGGCCAAAGTTTGGCCGAGACACCAAGAGGTGTCTCGGCCAAGGCTTGGCCAAGACACCCACGGGTGTCCGCAGTCCCGAAAATAGTTTTTGGCAGATTTAAGTTGTTTTTCGACCGTTAACCGCCTGGATTTATTCAACTGGTAAAATATCATCTAAGAACGTGGTTAAGTGGTTATAACTGAAGATAAGAATGAATCGATCATTCTTATCCGAAAACAGAGGTCCCAAAAGCCTATAAATACAGCCCTAGGGCCTTTATTTGCACAGATCTGAAATTCTCAAGCGTCGGCAAAGCCCTGCAGACTTGAAGACTGAAGGAGCACGAATTCCAGAAGAGAGGAGGAGATAAAATCGAGTTCGTTAGCATAAAGAAGAGGAGCTCGTCAGCATAAACAAGGAGTGGATTTTAATGAGGTATTCGCTCCTGTTGCACGATTGGAAACTGTAAAGCTCTTAATTGCTTTGGCAGCACAAGAGAGCTGGGTGGTACATCACATGGATGTAAAATCTGCATTCCTAAATGGCGAGCTAGAGGAAGAAGTGTATGTAGCACAGCCAGTTGGATTTGAAGCCAAAGGCCATGAGGGTCAAGTGTTGAGGCTGAAGAAGGCATTATATGGACTGCGTCAAGCACCTCGAGCATGGAATTCAAAACTTGATAAATGCTTACAGTCATTGGGGTTCATAAGGTGTCCTATGGAGCATGTTGTGTACAAGAGAACACTGAGGGGTGAAGTCCAAGTGGTTGGTGTATATGTGGATGACCTTATCATCTTCGGATCAAACGTCGAACACATTGTAATGTTCAAGGAACAGATGAAGAAACTATTTGACATGAGTGACCTTGGACTATTGAGCTACTACTTGGGCATTGAAGTGAAGCAAGACTCATATGCTATCACCCTGTCTCATCTGGGTATGCAATGAAGATATTGGAAAAGCTTGGTATGGTCGAGTGCAATTCATGTCAAGTTCCCATGGAGCTGAGGCTGAAGATGAGCAAAACAAGTACCAGCCCTCCTATTGATGCTTTCTTGTATAGAAGTATCATAGGGAGTTTGAGATATTTGGTTAATACAAGACCCGACTTGGCCTACTCAGTTGGAGTAATGAGCCGATACATGGAGGCGCCAACAACAACTCACATGATTGCCGTGAAGAAAATATTGAGGTATGTGCGAGACACTATCAACTTTGGGTGTTGCTATGTTAGGAAGAATCATTTGGGCGAGTGTTTGATTGGGTACAGTGACAGTGACCTAGCGGGAGACATCGATGA